GGGAATCTAACGAGTCATAGATGGTGTGCACATGGAAGACAACAATGATGACAAATACGACGACAAATACGACGGACGACAAAACAACAAAAACGACAAAGACAACAAGTACGACAAGAACAATAAAGACAACAAGGACAACAAAATGATGATTAGAAGAGAGTGGGGAATGGATTGTGCACACCTTGCTATGAGAGGTTAATTATTATGACTAAAGTCTGCTAGTTCCGTTCCGGTAAAGAGGAATTAGCTATGCACCTTTTTTAGAAAATGATATGCTCTTGTAGATTAATCTTCATACTCACGAGCTGTAACTATCTTAATACAGATACGACCTGAAGTTAACGATCCTCGGTACAGAAACAAACTGAGCTTTAACATCGCTAATTATAGGTTAGTAATTTTCACTTTACTAACGAGAATAGCATGTGTGCACATGATGCAAGACGACAACAGGTAAGAACTACAAGATAGCATGCACGGCAAGGGCAGCAAGGACAACAAATACGACGACAACAAAGGATTATAAGAAGAATGAGGAACGGATATGTGCACACCTTGCTGTAAGAGGTTAATTTTAATATAAGAGGTGGATTCTAAGATCTGCTAGTTCCGTTCCGGTAAAGAGGAATTAGCTATGCACCTTTCTTAGAAAATGATATACTCTTGTAAATTAATTTCCATACTCACGGATATAACTATCATAATACAGGTATAACCTGAAGTTAACGATCCTCGGTATAGAAGCGAAAAATGTCTCTTCGAAATTTCCCATCCTCGATGATTTTTGATAATGACTGAATGTCTGGTAGGTATCCTTTTAAAACCCATTTCGATTCACTTTTACAATCTTCACTTGTTTCATTATCCATTGTTAGGGAGCAACAATCTCATATTCGGGTTCATTTTTTTTGGTTCTTTCGGTTTCGGGCGCCCAGGCCTTTAAAACTTCGTAATTTGTAATTATAATATATTAAACAAAAAAATGATGATACAAGTAATGTTGCGAAGAGAAGCAAGTAGACGCCTCAATCAATACAGATGTGAGTTGCCCGCTGGAATATGCGACTCGAAGACACGTGCATTTAAATATATAAAAATGTACTGGTTATTATTAACCTAACTCACATCCAACTTTCCCTTGATCCTCTGCTTTTTTTTTTAGTACACTTATCGAATCAAGTAAAATTTCACGCTGTTATATTAGTCCATTAAGTTAGGATTTGAGTGTATTACTTATACCAAATTTTACAAAGAAATTTTTTTTTTAGTGCACAGAAGACATTTCAGTTACCGTTGTCTTTTTTTTTGCTTTTTCGTTACCATCTCTATTTGGTTTCTATGACTTTGGTCAAAATGTTCTGGGATTGGAGACAACGTGAAGCAAGATAGTAAGTATACTATTTCTTTTATCTCGTTTCATCCTTTATAACTATCTTTTTTTAATTATTCCAGTACAAATTCTAGGGCTTCGGGGATCTGTTTATCGTCGAAATTATTACTAAATCTTTCATTACTATTTTCCTGGATCTCTCTAATTTATTCCGAAGTGTTGCAAGAAGCATTTTGCATTTTATTTCAGCACACACATTCAAGCATCTACTAACTACATGATCTCTTCCATTACAATAGATGCATGAGTTTTCTTTTCGAGGGCTTCTTCTGATCGATTTATCGTTTCGAGAATTTTGTGATGTTTGCTGAAGTCGGGACACTTTTGTTCGAGTTTCCACTTGCTTTAGTTTTCAGGTAGATTTTTTTTTCTTTTTTTTGGTTAAGGTTTTCAACACAGTACGAGTTCGGTTTATGTTAAGAATTGGTATAAATAGAAAAGGATTTTTTGAAAAGAAAAGGATTTTTTATTTCGCTTAGAGTTTTTCTTTATGCTCTTTCTGTCACTCTGACTTTAGGCATCTAAATTGCAATTTGAATCTATGCATCAATCCTTATGACTCTTTTTCGTCACACTACCATTCACTCTCTGATTACAGTTGAGTTGCATAATAAGGAATTTGTCGGTAACTTGAGTAATTTTGAGCCTTCTTCAACTAACTGATCAATTAATATATTATTTTCCTTTGAATCCGAACATTTCAAAAAGATTCAAAAAAATAAAAAATCGATTATCGTTAGTGTAAAGGATACACGGTATGAATTCAAAAAGAAAAATTAAGTGGGCACTTTTTTGAGTTATCGCCCAGCACAAAATGTCTGGCAAACGAAAGAAGGCCGAGGTCCCACAGCGTTATTGGGTAAGTACATCTACTACGGGTTGCTTGTGCTTTTCTTGGGTACTGCCGATACGTTGGTTCTTATTTGACTTTTCTCTAATTTGATTTCTTTATTCGTTTTTTCAAATCGGGGTACAGATCGAATTTCATTTACCATTAAATGTGACGCAGAAAAATAACTCCACTCAAAAAAAGCGTGGATTTTACCGGGAATATTTATTAAATGTGACATCTCTTGTACAGCTACATTTATGTCTTCTATGTATTATACTGTATATGTGAAATCCACTACTAATGATTTATATGCCCTCTTTTTCGACAGACAATACAGATACGATACGAAACGAAATTCAGAGGCTTTTACGAATTGAGTGTACTTTCCACAGTTAACATTTCCACCGCTATTCAAACCTTCCTTAAACGTCGGGCTGTTCTTTTATTTACATTTAGCCTTCAAGTTACCTCACGGAGCTTTTTTTACGAACGTTTGAAATTTCGCGTTTGTGTTACAACCACAGAATGTCGGTCGGATTTGTCGACTAAATTCGTGTTTTAATCAAATTTGTATATTTTGATCTATAATTATTCAATCTTGATGATTTTGATATCATTCGAATCCTCTCGGTGAGGGGATTCGAATGGTATCAAAATCATCAAAATCGAGCCACTAGATCGCGAGTCATCAATGATAGATCAAAATATACAATTTGATTAAAACACGAATTTGGTCGACAAATCCGATATTCTACTGTTGTTTGCTTAAGCCTCTTATGCAAATGAATAAGCATTCTACAATGTTTCGAATCCATGATTTCTTCGGGATATTACTACGCCTTAATTTCGGATATTTCACTTTCAACTCGTGACAATATCGATATAAGCTTTTTACACGGAATTTAAGAGCTTTATTATCGTTTGGCACAATTTCCAATACTCTGTTTAAATCTGTAAACGAATTTTCATAGCGGTCCAACCTAATATAAGTTATCCACGAAGTTCAAGAATTTCGGTAATTTCCAATGTTCTATTTAAATCCGCAAGCGACTCTTCATTGCGATCTAGCTTTATATAAGTTTTCTCAGGAAGTTCGAGAGTTTTCGTGTTATTTAAATCTGTAAGCAATTCTTTATATCGAACTTTGCATTATATTAACATTTACATGAAGTTTGAGAGCTTCTGTACCATTTGACTCAATTTCCAATACTTTATTTAATTCTGTAGGTGATTTTTCATATCGATCCGAGTTAATCCACGAAGTCTGAGAATTTCTGTGTTATTCGATTTAATTTCCAATGCCCTATCTAAGCCTGCAAGTGACTCTTCATAACGATTTAATTTATCATAAATTATTCTACGATTTCTGAGAATTCCAGTGTTATTCGGATCAATTTACGATGACTTATTTAAATCTGGAGCGATTTTTCATCTAACATTGAATAGTGATTCCACGCTCTAAGAAATTATACGTCATTTAGCTCGATTTCCCAATGATTTATTTAAATCCGAAAGGTCTTCTTTGAACTCAAATTTACATTGCATTTTATAGATATAAAATCGAAAATCTAATCTCTGTGATTAGTCAAAAAAAAAAAGAAAATTGTAGGGATTAGAATATAAAAAATACAATCATTGAAATAATGATTAGACACTTGATTTTTGGGATCTAAATTAGCTAATATATCTTTGTAAATAAATTTACCAACAAGTTTATTTATTGAATTTAATTAATACTCATAATTTTAAGAGAGATCTCGACAAAATTACCTAAACAGGATTCAATGAAATTATTTAAAACTAAATTTTAATGAAGAACATAAATATCAACCGTATGAAAAATTTTTCAGAGTTTTGTGCATATTATTAAAAAAAAAAATAGGTGCCTAACACTGTATAAATTATCATAGTTTATCACAATATACTTACCAAATTTATCGTTAATTGCTAATATGGGTTGGTACACAGCAAAACCATGCCTTGAGAGTTTTTAACCGAAATTGAGATTTTTATTGTTATATTCTCAAATTCGTGCTTTATCCATAGTGCAAATTTTATTTCACATTAGCATATTACGATTTAGTACAATTTCGAGCGCAGTTTTTTATCTAATCCGGTTTTTATATTCTAAATTTAGATTAACGGTTAAGTGTAATAATGAGTCTTGATTTAATAACTAATTGTTCGAATTTTTCTATCAAATAATATACGTCCTGGTAACTATATCGATATTCAATATTCTAATTTTATCACATAATACCAAGTTTTGATCAATCGTTGATATCTACTAATAAAAAATTCGTCTCAAAGCATGATTTTGCTGTGTACCAACTAGTGATGCGGTAGAATCGTCCCAATGAAGTCCCAATGGATTTTTTGATACGAAAAGTTACGGCTTGGCGTAACTTTTTATTAAGCTACAAATAAGCCGTAATTCAATTTGCCGTATCTCAAAAATTCGTTGGGACTTCATTGGGACGATTCTACCGCATCACTAGTACCAACCCATATGTATAAATACCGATATTAATCTCTTTAAATTTTTCTATTATTGCTTATTTCTTCATATAGAATAAAAGTTGTTAAACAGTAGTAAACAAATTTGATAATTAATAAAACATCAAGTATATTTACGATTAAATGAATTTTGTGAATTATTATTGTTCGCATACGTATATTTTCTTTTGTTATCGTGGTTTAAAAATATCTATAAAATAATTGTTTATCACTAAAGTATAAATGAATTGCATTTATTAATATTCATATTACTTCCCACTATTGGTTCCTGCTACTTTTTTTTAATGAAATCTGAAATAAGTCAACAAACAGCAAATCATCATAATCTTATTAAATAGATATAGGTAGACAGTAGATGTAATATTACCTGAATTGAACTTATTTTAAGAATGGGAATACCTCTATAATCAGTAATTTCACTTTTATTATTAGACAAATATACTTGAGAAACGGAAGAATTCTTGATCTGATATCGTACAGTAGTTTTTCCATTGTTATTTCTTCCTAGCATTTTAAACCAATATTCAATGCACTGGTCATCGTAAAGGATTCGCATCCTATTAAACATTATGGATTCTAGATACGTTTAATAGGCTGAAAATATTCTATTACAAATTCCTCTTGCAAGATAAATGCCAAAATTATAATCATCAAACAATATGCGTCTAGTTACGAGTTGCCACATACTGTGATTATTTTCTAAGCTTGAATTATTTGATTTATCTAATAACTTTATAATGACTTTTTCTGGGTTCGACCTTACGAACTTTGAGCTTTTTCATCCCAGTTAACAATCCACCCATCAATCCAAGTAGCTGTAAATATAGATCCAAAACCTCCTTTTGAAATTCTTTAAAATGATCAATAGGCACCCATTCAACAATTGTTGAATTCATTTAACTACCTTAAATTAAGTCATCTATAAATTCATTATCGGATGTCCAATCACGAATATTATTTTTAAGATGCTGTCGAATGCACTCATTATCGTAAAACTCGAAAAATAAGCACCCTCATAATAAAAAATTTATGTTCCATAAAACTTTAAATTGCGTTATTCACAAGATATCACATTGTCTATTTTCAAATAATTAGTGAATAAGCATCTCCATATAATTAAAAAAAAGTGGTGCTTATTTTCAGAGTTTTACGATATATGTTCGTTTGAAGCAATTTTATGAATTTCTACGCTTGACAATTCATTTGGATTAATTTCCAAAGATTTATTCAAATCTGTGAATGATTCATTATAATGCTTTAACATTCTATAGGTATTTCCACAATTTCTAAATGTAAATTAATTATTTGGCTCAATTTCTAATGCTTTATCCAAATCTGCAAGAGACTCATGATATCTACCTAATAATCTATAACGTCCCACGTTTTTCTGAGTATAAATACATTTTTTGATTCAATCCACAATACTTTGTTAAATTCTAAAAATGACTGTTCTAAATTAAACGAAGTACAAAGAGAACATCCTCGCATAATATATATGTGTGTGTCAACAAATTGATTGTGCTTACAATTATTTGTTCAAAATCAGAGATAAGTTTTTATATTCTTTCTCGTATGCTTTCTTGCATGATATAATATCAAACTTTGTAAGAAATCTTTCCATGCCATCAAATAAAGTATAATAAAATTATATCCTTTGGACTTCAGAAGCAAGCATATCATTTGCTCGATTTCTAATGATTTATTCAAGTTTGCAAGTGACTACGACCCAACCATTTATAAAGATCTCCGCGAGTTCTAAGCGCAAATAAGTTGTTATTCCCTGGTTATAATTTTTTTTTTTCCGCATAAAGTTATAATCAGGAAATCAGAAATTTAAAAACGTTCAGGAATTCAAAAAGGTTTTATATAGATTTGTTAAGAAAAATGCTCTAAATAAAGTCTGAATATAATCCATTTTTTTTTATAGGGTTTATTAAGATCTTTAAATGAATTTTCAACATTCAGTAAATATTTCCACAGGTGATAAGTGAGATTACATTGCTTGGCTTAATACCTAAGCCTAAAATTAGAAACATTTTTTTTGTCCAAAAATTATGCAGTCTGTTCGAATTGCTTTAAAATTGTTAACGAAAAATGTGTACTAGATTGACATGTAGGTAGGTAGGTAAGGCGTATCGAATTCGTACGCGCATATGTAATCATATTGCTATAAAATTTTAATTATTATAAATATGTTGTTTTTTTAAAATGAAAATTTATAAAATTTTAGGTTTTTTTGTGGTGTTTTTTTTTTCAGTTAGGTTAGGGTTAGGTTATTAATAAAAGAGTATGGGTGGATTTTAGTAGGTACTATATTATAGATTTAAATAGGGCCCCAAATCTCAGCATAAGCATAAGTCACCACAATTTATAACCATATATATAATAAAATAAATTTAGGTTAGAGTTTAAGGTTAGGATATACATAGTTTATATTAAAATTTTGCAAGGAATCTTTTTGTCCCTCCAAAAAAATAGGGTTATAGACAAAATTTTAAACGTTATGAATAACCATACGACATATATATTAGAAATGACTACTATATTTTAAAATATAATACTGCATTTTTTAACCCATTTTATATTATTTTAAAATTTTTAAATCGAATAAAAGACTGAGGTTTGGAACCGGTTTGTTTTTTGTTGAAACCGGATTTAATCGGTTTTATCGTATGAAAAAATAAACCCGGTTCCAATCTATATGTCAATTTAAATTATGATTAAGTATAATTCTATTAATTTTGATTAGTCTAAACTATACGTGTACACTTTACTATTTTATAGTAAAATCGTGAATGCATTTTTTTTTTTTACTTGCTTTAATTTCACTTATGGAGCTAATATAAACATGTGTGCAGAAAATTATTTTTGTATAATTTTACATAATTTGTGTAATATATGCATATTTTAAGCTAAAAACTTGCATAATTTGCATAATTTACAGTTTGCCGCATACATAATTTTGTTTTGTCTCTCATTTACGAGTACATTTATCATGAAGAACATAATTGGGTATAGCCCTTCTGCTATCGAGCAACCTACGCAGTTTCTCTGAGCATCGACTTTTTTTTTTTTACTCAACTAAAATCACGTTGTCATGACGACAAGCTATACCTACACATGTGACTGTCGTCCCGACAGGCCACACGGCCAACTAATTCTGTGTATGTGACTGTCGTCCCGACAGGCCACAATTTTTGGGCTGCCGTCCCAGCAGGCCAATCAAAACAACATTACATCATTATGGGGACGGGGGGGAGGGATCGATGTAACCAGAACGAAAGTCGGGTTCGCAGAAAAGACAAAATTAACTTACATCAATTTCTCACACTAAAATACCACGATCCCATTACCTCATACTTTCTCACACGTACTTACTCAATTATCTCATACTTACCCAATTATTACATACATGCTGAAGATACTAAATTACCTAAACTACGTTCACATTACTGATTGAAAACTAATTGCAACATACTGATATCACTGAACACATAAGCACTACATGCTTAGGATCGATCAAACGATCGAACATGTGACCGTAAACGGGCTTGTCACATGTTCGATCAGGTGAGTAGATTCGAGACAAAAGCTGCCTCGATACTTACGTATCGAGCAGCTATTTGGCCATCCTCGCATCATAATTCTAGATTTCAAGTGACTTAATCGTCATATGATACAATTATAAAATATATAATTATGTATTATTATGTATTTTGTGAATAGAACGAGATTTATTTAAGGAATAAATGTCCTGGCTAAAACTAAAACCAACAAATCAGATTCGAAGCTTCGGATTCAGCCATCAGCGGCCACGATTACCAACGTTTAAAAAAAAAAAAAAAAAATTTTTTTTTCTTACATATAAATCAGGCCGATCAAATAGGTCAAATTGGTCGGATCGAAGTTGACCGTTGATTACCGGTCCAAGCTAACCTTTGTATATACGACACTATTAATTTACATTTCAATATATATCATACATTCCGTAAAATTTTCTTGAATATATTTGTTGATTTTTATATAATATATTTTTCTGTGAATTTCTATAGCAGTAGCCATTGCTGTGAGCTAAACTATGATGATATATTTTATGTGATCAGATACGCAATTATGATGTAAAAAATTACATCAATTATATCGTATAAATATATATATATAAAGTTACAAATCTTCTCAACCTCCAAACTCATTCTTTGTATCACGTTAAAATTTTGCGTATCCAACAAACATTTTTAAAAAAGATGTCAAAATCAGCACACCGAGATACCAAATCCCATGTTTCTCACATCTCACAGGATTATTGTGATGTCAAAGAAGGAAAAAGAGGACAATCTCACGAACTTCATGATAAGTATGTTCATCCTTCTACAAACCATGATCCTAAATTAGCTTTTAATCAAAAAATGGACATCGAGCGAGAAAGTCGTAAACAACATGCGGATAAAGAAATTGAAGCGGAAGAACGAGAAATTGAGAAAAGTAAAAATGAAAGTAAAAGTAAGAAGATGCCAGCTAAGGAGTAAACCATTAAAGTGGTTGATAATATGAAATATACATATCACAGTATTAAACTGAGAAGTTATTATGTGAAGCACTTTACAGATTGGTAGTAGTATTAATAAAATTCAAAACTATATCCTTTGATACAGATATATATATACTTGCCCATCATAAATGAGGATAATAATAATAATTAGGTTAGATACGATTTACCTGGACAGATATATATTTTATATATATATCTTGATTACATTAATATGTCATATATGTTGAATACTTAAAGTATTAAAGTTCTTTTGAAATTTTTGTGTAATTATGTAATGATTTAATTAAGGCCATCGACTTTCGTATTTAACTGGTTTAATATGGACTTTTAGTCCACATTTCTCATGTTCGAAGTTGCAACCTGTCCGAAGACATTACCTGCCCCGAAATGCTACTCCACGCCCATAGGAAGACTTTCGTATGATTGGCAGTTTAAATCAATTTAATTTTACATTATTTATACAGTTTAAAGTACTTTTTAAAAAAAATAAAACTACTGCAAATAAACAAAAAAGAAGTATATAGAAAGTTTTATTAGAGTTGTAGGACTCCACTATTAAAAATGATCAAAATGATTTCTAGTTTTAGAGAAGTTATCATAATAGCGACTTCTTAAAGATAGATAGAATTAGGTTATTATTATTACTAACTTCTCTAAAACCAGAAATCATTGATTATTTTTAATAGTGGAGTCCTACAACCCTAATAAAACTTTCTATATACTTCTTTTTTGTTTATTTGTAGTAGTTTTATTTTTTTTTAAAAAGTACTTTAAACTATATAAATAATATATAATTAAATTGATTTAAATTGCCATTCACACGAATATCTGTCTATAATACTCTTGGTAATCTAATTCAATCAGGTGAGGTGCAAAATAAGTTGATTCTAGTCATTCTCTAAAACAATTGTTAATTATTGTAGGAATAAATGATTTGTAAAGTCATACGTGATACTAAGAGAATAACAAAAGAGTAGTTTATACTATACAGTATATATAATACAATCAGGCTATTTATCAATATAAAATATCATAAAATTATAAAAGTAGCAATCTTGCTTTTCTTAATTTCATTACTTTTCTGTTTAATAAATTTCAACTCAACTTTATTAAAAATGAAACAAATATCTAAAGTATCTAAAAAACAAAATCTAAAATATTTAAAACAAAATATAAAATGAAAACAAATATCTAAAAAAGAAATACCTGTGGAAGTCTAAGAAAAAATTATCCAATTGAGAGAGTTAAATTTTTCAACACAAGAAATAGAGATAAAATTTGGTGTTGAGTCTTCAACAGTATCTAAAACTTCTAAAAGAGAAAAGAAAACAAGAGATGTCAAAGATCGAGAAAGTTCTGGATGTCTGCGAATCCTATCACCCAATGATGTAAAAGATGTACTTGATATATTCTTCAGAAAAAGGTTCAACGGCAGTTAAGATCTACTCAAAGTATGTGGCTAAAACTGGCAAATGTATTTCAGTAGAAACTATATGAAATACATTAAGAAGGTGCAGGTATAAAGCTAAAGTTAAACCTAGAAAACCTGAAATAAATAAAAAAACCAGATTAGAATATCTTCATTTTGCTAAAAAGCATATTAACTAGACTGCTAATGATTGGAAAAAGGTTATTTTTTCTGATGAAAGCAAATTCATACTTTTTGAATCTAATTTTCGTAAATTTTGCTAGAGAAAAAAGGGTGATAAATTAGAATGTGCTTATGTTAATCGGATCAAAAAATTTGGAGGTAGAAGTATAATGGTTTGGAGTTGTATAACTTTATGTAGTGTTGGTAAGATATGTCATATTGGAACTTATCTAAATAATAAAGGTTATTACATAATTCTAGTTAAAGATCTTTTTGGCATCTTACTCGAATATGACTTGGAGTTTAAAGATATTATTTTTCAACATGATAGGGACCCAAAGTACATAGCAACAGATACAAAAGACTAGATTAATCAAAGAGATATTAATACTCTTAAGTGGCCCTCTTATTCTCCTGATTTGAGCCCAATAGAAAATGTTTGAAGTGAGGTAAAGAGATATGTCTAGAAGAGCAAGAGCAAGAATAAGCTACAAAAAATAAAAAGCTAATTAAATTATGGAAAATAGTACAAGAAGAATAAAAAAAAATTGACATTGATTATATTATCAGTCTTTATGATTCTATGCCCTGCAGAATAGCTGCTGTGATTGATAATAATAGTCTTTACACAGATTTCTAATATACATAAACAGCCATATAGATGGCCTGGGTATGACTGATTAAAAAACTTAAATCCTGAGGTACAAAATTCTTGAAATCTGCAAGATTTCTAGTATATGGGGGTGAGTCAATAGAAAAGGGACAAATTATTTTTAGTAATTTTTTTTTAATTTTTAAATTAAAATATTTCAACAACTATTTAATCAAAATTGTTAAAAATTTTTT